CAGCAACTATATTAATTTCAAGTAATGTTGGAATATTTGGTATTTCTGAAGTTAATTTAATTACTAGATTTAGTATTCCAATTTCTAATTCTAATTTATTGATTGGAAATGTAATTTTAATTGAAAATGAAAATAATGATGGTTCTGATATTGCCTATGTTTCAATTTCATATCAAATTCATCAAGTTAATGTTAATACAGGAAAGATTGTATCCAGTGTTTCGTATATTAATGATATTCCAGATCCAGATAATAGTTATTTACATTTGGGTTATATGGGAATTTCTGGTTACTTGTCTGTACTTTCCTACTCAATTAGTTCACATTCGTATAGTTTAACTTCAGCAGCCATGGACAAACAAGTGGTTGGACAAGTATTACCACTTACAGATTTCACAGAATGTTCACTTCCAATGGGTAAATTAGATATGGCAATTGCTGACAGATACTTTTTCAAACATCAATTAATTTGCTCAAATTATACGAATGGAAATAAGAATAGTGGAATTTATTTCACATCTTACAGTGGTGGAGCTGCACGTGTTGGACAAACTCCAAAACTTGGAAAGCCATATATTCACTATCAAGTTCAAAAGGATAATATTGTGAATGGAAATTTACCTTATTTGGGACCATTAGTTTCTGTTTCGAATGATCATTCAGTTGTTTTGGTTACTAATCAAAATAATTTCCAATTAATTGATTACATGAACTCTGCAATTGTTGGAACTATTCCAAAAAGCAATTTATTTCCACAATTTGCTGTTTATTCATTGAAAAATAACATGTTATACCACTGTACAAATGATTTGAATTGTCAATCTGTTAAAATATCTCAATAAATGTTATTGAGTTTGGCATTCTTGATCCAATTAGTGCATCTTCCCTAAATTGTATGTTTCAGTTAAATATTTTCTGTTATTTTCCAACAACATTCCAACGAGTAAAACTATTTTTACAAAAAGCACAATATCAATCTCATTTACTCTCACACGGAACGAATATTTCAACAAAAAAGAAAACAACACAACCAAACCTATCAATCATTCCAAAGAATCTGCACATTATGAAAATTCCAAGCGACTACGAAGAAGAGGACACCCATTTCAGCACTGACTGCCACAAGATTATTAACAATACAATTTCACTTCCATCAAAGGAATGCAAAAGCACCGATAAAAACTTGCTAGCAAATTTACTTTCCAATGATTGTAAGGTGGCTATTATTGATTTGGAAATGGAGACCATTATTGTGGATGAAAGAGACAAGCCAATGTTAAAAT